TTTCAGCTTTACAAACCATTGTCAAATGCYCTGAACTATAGATTTCTGGCTGGTTTCTATGTTGAGCCCAGTAATGCTCCATCATATTACATAGATGATTTTTAAAAAGTGAAATTAAGTACCTAAATTAGCTTCTTTCAGGAATGCTACAGAACCCTTCTGAATGGTGAACTCTACAGTATTCACCAAATTGTGGCCTGCATTCACTCCACAGGTATGATGCTGTTGTTGTCTCAAAGTGTCTCATCTATCTTTTTAAAGGGCTCCCTTATATACCTAAGGGCACKAATCCCTTTCAGACAGGTTACTACACTTCTCTACTGCATATGGTTCCTTTAGGCAAAAGGATTCCACTCCTAACAACTTTTATTGCTTCAAAAAGAGAAGAATACMAACAAAATAAAACAAAGGCCAGATATCTCTATCTCATATTCCTAAGTGTCTACAGAAAGGTTCCATTCTTGAACTGCGGCAGTATAACATTCTGACATCCACTACCCCAACATCATTCCAAAGCCTCTTTGACTTTGGGAAAGAATCAGGTTTAGTTTCAAAACACTCTTTGACCTTCAACTAAGTGTACTCTATCCAGACCTTGGTTACTAAACACTCTGCCCCCTAAAGTAGTATACTGCTCATTCTGTTTTATTTATTTATTGTTTTACTTCGAATATTTTCTTTTTGCCACTCCCTTAGTCCCCAGAGTTTTTTTTTTTCAGAGTTGGGCTTCTTGATAGTAGTGTGTCTCCTGGTGAGATCAAGACTATCTTGATGGACAAAGGTAAAATACATTAAAAAGCTTTAATAAAAGATGGCGGAAAGGTTTTGTTTTCATTCAAGTTCTTTGAGGAGCAGTTTCTGCTTTTCTAGTGATATTAGAATGTTTGGAAAGAGAAATAGAATCCCTATGCTATTTTCGAGAGTTCTGGAGCTATAAGGTACACAAAATACACTTATCTGGAAGCCTTTGGAGAATCACAGAAACCATGTTTCTAAGGACTTTTTTTTTCTACTTTTTGCTTTCTGTTTCATTTTATGTGGCTGCTAAAAGCCCCTCAACGGTCCCCCAGTTTACTTTAAAGATACGACAGGTCCCACTGCCCAGAATGAGTCGGGATGAATACTCCAGTCCTGGAGGAAGAAAGTTGAATSGAACAGTTTCCAGGGAGGGGACTGGAGTGGCAGGCAGCAGCGGCAGCAGGTTGCYGACCGACGCTGGTGGAACCGAGCGCAGAGCGTCCCCGAATTCGGAGCAGCGGGTTCAGCGGGAAACCTGGGACGCGGTGGAGGTGGGGGGACCTCRGTGACAGACAGCGCTGCGGTCCGGGCGGGGAAGCGCGGCATTTGAAGACTGCAGCGGCGCTCCAGGAGGTCCCCGAGGCCGTACCCTCCGCCGAGCGGCGACGCCGAGCGCTGCGGCGCCGACGCGGTGTTTACCGGCGTCCTAGCAACCGGCGCGGACGGCGCGGCGCGGACCGCGGGGCGGGCTCCGGGAGGCCGCTGCAGGTGGGTGCAGCCGCGGGGGGACCCCGCRCCCTGCTGAGGGTTTTGCAGGCGTTGGCGATGGTTGAGGAACCGGGGCCGCTCCCAGGCCCCGCTGCCTTTCTCTCTCAGTCGTTCCTTTCTCTGCTAGGAGCAGAGCTCGGCTCTCTCTCCCTCCTTCTCCCACCCCAATCTGTCACCTTCCCCGCCTCGGCCGGGCTCGGGGACCTCAGGCTCCTCCGACCCGTTTCCACCGGTCCAGGCTCACTCCTCTCCCCGAGCCGCTCCGCTGCTCCCTCCGCTCCCGCCCCCCTGGCCTTTCCCTCCGCCCTCTCACTGCGTCCGCACTCTCCACTGGGTCTCTGCTGCCCCTTCCCGACCCCGTCCCTGAAAACTCGCCGTGCCAGGTCCCACGCCTCCGCCTGGTGAAGTGTGGGACGGGTGCCAGCGTCGCGCCGCTTTGGGGTCGGGTTTTATTCAGGGCCTTGATCGCGTCAGTTGTGAAATTTTAGTTTTTCTGTAGGTCCTAGTGACCAGCTTCTCGGTGCTGAGAATGCTGGTGTGCGCGCTGACTCCCCACGGAGGCGACCAGCCGCGAGTGGAGATTTCAGAGTGGATGGCCACATTYCCATCGCTTTCTAAAAAGTTTCGTTTTGCTTCCGCTCCAGGGGCACAGAGATTGGGCACGAATGGGTTCCATTTTATTAAGGATAGTCGAAGCTCAAAACGGATTTGGAAAAAGAAAAAACAAATTCTATCTACTGGAGCTGAAGAGAAAAGGAGGGGACTGTGTGATTCCCAGTTGGCGTAAACAAACACCTACATGGAACCCTTTTTCCTCTTATCTTTGAACTTTTTTTCCTTTAAAATTTACTTTATTTCAAATATATATACAATGTGTTTGCACATATTCGTCGTAAACATTTTTTTTTAGGCCTAAAGACTTAATGGATTGGTGATGGGTAGACACCAGAAGCAGCCCATCTTGATAAGTTTTGGTTTTTGTATTTTTTACCTGAGTTATGCTGACCATGTTTGAACACCCCCCCCCACCCCCAGTAATATTGCACTTGTCTTCTGGATTGACATAGATCCCCTAAGGTTTGCTCAGGGCTTCTGCTAACCTGCTTTCTTGAATAAAGCCCGTATATCCCTGCGGCTCCTGGATCACTTGCAGTAGAGAACAATTTGAATAGATTCGAATGTAAGTTTCACTTAYATTTCTATAAAATTTCTCATGACAAAAAGAATTTTATTTTTGCATTTATTAGTTCCTTTCTAAAGTGTTTTCTAAGAAGTTATTGTATGGTATGTTGACTTTCACAATTTTATGTAATCTATGCAATTTCACATTATTCTTAAAAAAGGTGCAGGAAGGAAATGATGCAATCACTACATCTTTATAAGATCACCTAAACAAATACTATGCTTAAAATTAAAAAAAAAAAAGAACAGAACTGTCCATCAAAGCCTTTGTGTGTAAGATAAAGCTGTTTGCACTTATTCTTCGTTTATACTTATTCTCATGACATGGGGAAACTCAAATGCCACACTAACATCAATATGTGCTTATATATTTGAATCTAAAACATTTTCTGTCAATTAACAATAGAAACAAAATAACAAAAAAATTGTACACTAATTATATTTATATTGTATTTCACTAGTGCTATCTATCTTGATCAGTTGTTTCAAGTCTATCTGATCCAACACTTGGTTTTTTGTAATAAATATTCTATAATACTATTCTGAAATCAAGGTCATATATAATAATCCTACATATGTAATATAGTTTGAAATATTGATAATACTCTAATTGCAAAAGGAAAATTGAAAGGAAAATAATTATAAATGCTTAGGTAGCACTACACTAGAATATATAAGAAAGTTTTCAGATGCTACTTAGGCCAAATGCAGGCTGATTGAAGTCTGTCATTGCAACTTTAATTTTGCCCATAACATTGCCACCAAATAGCATGCCTTTCCAAAATGCTGAGCTCTTAGTAAAATGAAATATGTACAGTCTTCCTTTCATTTATATGACAGTTACAATCCTGGAAAATTCAGCAYGTTATGCTATGTATGTTAAAACTGGGAAAAAATACTTGGTGATTTTTGTAAAGTACGAAAAATTCCAGGCTCACATATTGCTTATCTGAAGTTTTTCTCTGACCAGATACTTTTAGGTTGCAACAGAATTCTTCCTCTTGGGTAATTGTCCTACACAAAAGGACATTGGGCATTCTTTATCTTCATCACTAAATGCCATTGATGTCTCTTTCTTTCATTTTGGTAACTAGATACCTTTATAATATTTCTATACTGCTTCTGAGTAGGAATTAGTGCCCTTTTTAGAGTGCTGAAATCCTTTTCTTGGATTTCAAGATTTAATACACTATGGAAAATTTAATCTCCAAGTCATTTCTGTAGAATCTTATATTTCTGGACCTATGTAATAATAACGGATAAAAAACCTGAATATATTCGATATTTAACTTTGTAACCATTTATCTAGTATTCAGGAAAGAAGATTTTAATGATCAGTATTAYTATAAATGAGAACACACACAAGTATAGTTTATTTGAAAACAAAAATACCTATTATGAATTAACATCAGAACTTGTTTTCAAAATTGATTCCTATTTAATGTCACAGATAATGTCATCTTTAAAAAGATCTTTTAAAGACTAAATTTTGATTTAGCCAAGGTGAAATTTATTTCATTTGAATTTTGGTTTTAAATATTATTGTTAGACTGTTTTTGATAGCCACTTTAGATAACAGTCCAAGAAGACTTTCTCTTCTTGTTTCTGTCACATTTGTTCTCAAAAAAGTTGTGAATCACAATAATTTTTTTTTCATTCTGTGCAATATGAATGGGCAGGGGATATAAAATTTGGATTGTTAAAATATTCTGATGATAGGATCAATATGTTCTATACTAACTTTCAGAAAAAATTAAAGTTATACTTCACAATTTCATTCTTATCCTGTTTCTTATTAATTCAAAAGGCACTCGGGGGAACTTACAGAAGTCGCAGTATAATTCTAAATGATGTCTGGCCCACATCAAATAAGCACTTCTCACTCAAACCTCCAGCACCCCAGCAGAGCTGTGTGAAGCAAGGCACTTGCTGCCAGCCACCTCCAGTTCTTTTTCCACTCTTAAAATTTTCTGTTTGGGTTTTCTTTCCAGCTGTTTGAATTCTCTTTCTTAGGCCTGAGACTCTTAGAAAGAAGTTATTAATTTCAGAGCAGGCAGATATTGGAAAGTCCTTTGATTCTGGTCAGGTTTATTTATTTATTTCATTATTTACTGTAAACCTATTTTATTGAATTGAAGAGTAATTAGATAATTAAAAACGGAGCCTCTCAGATGAAGAGACAGAATGTGGGTTGGGTTATACTGGTTTAAAATCTTGGAAAATGTTCCAGGGGAAAGGTGGATGCTCTTCCCTGCTCTAACTCTTTCTACTCCTACAGAGTGTGAGCTCAGATCCCAGCGTTAGCTGTTCCCATGGGCGTGGCACTCACAAGATCTGCACAGTGGACTGCTGCGGGTTATGGCACTGGAACCCTGGAGATTACCCCCCTGAATGAGGAGATATTGAAAGAAATTATTGTGTTTGTGGAGCATTTTACTTATAAATATCCCCAAGAGGCAAAATTTGTTTTTGTAGAACCACTTGAATGGAATACAGATTTGAAGCCCTCAGCATTTCAATCAGGTTATTTTTTCAGGTAAGCCATTTCATTACTTCTAGAATTGAATATCATCATTGTCTCTATTTTTATTGACTGATTGTGGGTTTTGCACAAGTCATGTACCCTCTTCGAATCTCAGAAATCCTCTCAACAAGGGATTGTAAACTGGAGGCACTCAGATGAAATTTGAGGATACCTCAGTTGGCCAACGTAGTGTTTATGTATTTTTCAAATTTAAATTTCATTTTCTTTTGATAGAGGACACATTCTCCAGGTCACCAGTCCCAGCATTCACTGCTGCCTCATGCTTGGCCTGTTCATCTATCCAAATTATCTGTCAGATGTCAGTCACTGGTTTTGTGACCTCTGATATAGACGAAAATCTCTTCTAGTATTTAAATTTCATTTCCTGTAGTGATGGGGAGAGTGGTGAATTTTGCTCAATATAAGAATGAGACAACATAATTAGTGCTCTTCTCAAATAGATCCTTTTGAATATGGGATAAAAAAAAATCCTACCACCAGCTTGAACAAGTGGTATGACTTCATCTTTTTTGATTATAAGTAAATAAATAAACATACATACAAGTACACATATACACATTTAGATTGTATAATAAGTAAGTAAGCAAATGGATAGTTACTTTAGCAGGGATGCAGCCTCCGTTTATTGTGTTCTCTTGTCTACTTCCTTGGCCACTTTTGCTTTTGCAAATACACTTTTCAAATCTGACCTTTTCAAAAACAGTCCCCTAGCTGGCCAAAGGTTCCTGTGCTTTTCCTCCTTCTTCCCTTTGGGATTATATTTGTGACAATAAGGTCAGAAATTCGTTTTTAGAACTTAAAACACATTCTTGAACTGCATTTAAGAGCTCTTTAGTTCTTATATTGGTCTTTTTTCTCTGAACAAAGAACCAAGAACAAAGTTATTGTTGTATTTTATGTCTGACTCTTCCAAGGGTCACTTTTTCCCAAAGTGCTGGTCATTACCTGAGGCTTCATTGATCCCAACTAAGTTCAGTGTTTTTTTTCTTACCTTTGAAGGATGAACTCATCTGCAAAACCAATTAAAAACACATTAACTACTTTGTACAAAGATGATTTTAAAGCAGATGACAGAAAAGAATATCAAGATTGTCACCGTATCTGGCTTCTGCACTCATTCTGTGTTCCAAGTACAAACACAACCACCTCTGCCTACTAATTTTGTGGAAGTAACACACTCCTCAAATGTATCACTTTTTTTCCTTCTCTATCCTTGTCCAAGTTCTTTTTGCTTTATTTTGTAATTGTATCTCTGCATAATCTTTATGCACAATACTCCATCCTAAGCAAGGTGTTTTGATACCATGTATGTTTTGAAACAAGATTTACTATGCAGCTTTTTCTTCGTGTAATTTTTCTAGCCATTGCTTTAATTTTTGACCTTGATTGATGATATCTTTGATGTTGATGATGAAAGAAGTTTGGCACTTGTTTATTGTATTGGAAGGAATACATGTTTATGTGACTCTGATGAAAACCTGATAGATACTGCTTGTTTCAAAGAATGCAAAGGATACAGCTGAGGTTTTGGTGATAACCAAAGTATCAAATGCTTCTGACTATACCTCTTGTTCTGTGCACCAAACCCAAGGATGTTCAGCAATGTGTAACCACTTGGTGTTTGTTACAAAGCAAAGAAGATAAATCAGAGATGCTCTTATGGTCTAGAAGAAACTATTATTAAAATAGCCCCCTCAGTAGTTCATTCTTTGCTCCTTTGGTTTACCTGAATTCATCTGGCTTAGCTTCTGACCCTCAGGGCACTATTTATACACTTACTTGAAGTGAGGAAGCTGTTTTCCTTTGAATTCTGTGTGTCTGTGCATAAGGACAAAGTCATATTGAAAGACTTGAGTCTGGAGTCCCTTGGTTGTGTTTCCACCACTCAACCATGTCCTTGGATGTGTTTATATAAAGGAATGTTTTTCCTTGCACATGTACTTTCTCTCAGGTCTTTTGTTCTGAGACAAATCAATTTTATCTACCCTGAGTCTGTGAAGTAGGCAAGCTACCCTTTGTATTGGTATCTGRAGATATTGATGAGATTGTGTTTTTATTTGTGGACTTATTTCTTATTTGATTTTGTACATCTCCAGAGGCATTCTCTGTGGAAGCCAATAAAAGTTTGATCAGCCTTCTGAATCAGGCGAGTGAACGTCTGACATTCGAAACTGAACCTTTACACATATTGAAAAGGTTTTACATTTCATCACTATCTTCTTTCCCTTTGTGGAGACTGCTATTAATTGCATAGCCACAGCACTTTTCACATGTTGCATAATTCATCTTTTCTTCTAGATTTGTTTCCAACAAACTTGTCCTGTAGTAACATCTGTCGTCATCTCTCCGTGTTTAACTTGTTTTGGGAAAGTATCTTTACATTCATTTCCACAAGAATCATAGATGTCTTTTTATTCCCATTTACAATTGCTTTTTGTTCTTAGCAAGAAAAAAATGAGATTAATAATCTTCCTAAAACATTTCAGAATGAATCCCCAATTCATTGTCAGCTGAAGACAAATGACATCAAACAATGTTACGTAATACCATCTAGATTAGTTAGTTTTTCATTGCTGTGACCAAAATACCCAACAAGAACAATTTAGAGGAGAAAAATTTATTTTGGGTCACGGTTTCATGGTTAGCTGAGTCCATTTCTCTGAGATGGAGGTGAGGCAGAACACTGGGAAGGACTTTGTAGAGGAAAACTTTTCAGCTCCTGGCAGCCAGCAAGGAGAAAGTAAAAGGAGAGAGGGGGATGGGGAGGCATGTCAGAGACAAAATATAGTCCCCAARACCAAATCCCCAGTGACCTACTTCCAGCCATGCCCCACTTGCCTGCAGTTATCACCTAGTAATCCATTCACATTACCAATTTATCAAATGATTAATTCCACTGATGAGATTACAGCTTTCATAATCTAATCAATTCATCTATGAACATTTCTGCATGCCTAACACATGAGCTTCTTGGGGGACACCTCAGATGCAAACCCTAACAATCGACTGGTGGTGTAGAGAGCTGAGATGATTTGATTCTCTAGAACGGAGCTTGGGAAATATATAAATTGGTCAATTATTCAGAATCACTATGGGAAAAATATTATTACCTGCTCTTTTCTTCTCTGATAGAACTATGTTTTGTGAATCATGTATGCTCTGTTATTACAAATGTTTTACTTACAAATGTCATTCCACTGTGTCTCAGTGATATGTATGAGTTGGGASAAAGTATAGGTTAGCTGGAAATTAGATTGGCGGATCCTGGTCCCTGCAGTAATGCACACTTTGAGCACAATTTATACCATTCTGGGCCTTTGTTTTCTGATCAATGTAGTGAAGGTATGAACCACACAATCACTCAATCTTAAAAAAAATGAATGTTTTGAGCCCAATTCCAGTTTAAAAGTTTTTCTATCAAGACTGTGGATGGCATTAGCAACACATTCTTGAGCTTCATAAACTGGGTGCATTGTTTTTCTTTCCAAGGGCACATTCTTCCCATGTTAGTTATGGTGAAGCCGGAAACTGAAACTTACTCTTATGCATCCCCTCTATAGCTGGTACTTTCCCACTTCTCTTTTAAGGTACAGGCTTCAACGGGTACCAGCAGTGAAAATGCCACATAGGCACTTCAGTCCTCCAATTTCTCATCAGGAGTTTCACTGTCTCCAGTGAAGTAGTTTGACATTTTTAGTATTTGGTCATCCTCCCAACTTAGCCCTCTTATCATCCATTTCCCTGGAGGGACCAGCCCTTTAAAATGACTAACCTTCAGGTACAGGGCTCTAAGAAATCGTAATCCTAAAGCCTTTATTCCATAAGCTGAATTTTGTTGAAAATATACAAACGTATCATTGGTAACTCAAGAAGCATTTCATTTATTCACAGATAGTTATTGAGCATCTCTGTTTTGTTATTATTTGAGGTACTGGGGATAGAGCAGTATCTTATCTGTCACAGATAGTGCCAGACTGACAGTCTCTGTATTAGCTTCCTATTGCTGCTGTAACAAATCACCACATATTTAATAGCTTACTATCTTATCGTTCTTCAGGTCAGAAGACTAACATGAATTTGCAGAGCTAAAATCAATGTGTTGGCAGAGCTGTGTTCCTTCCGGACGATCAAGGAGAATTTGTCCTTTCCTTCCCCAGTTTCTTGAAGGCCCCTGCATTCCTTGGTTCTGCATCACTCTGACCTCTGTTTCCATTGTCATTTCACTTCTGACTCTGACCCTCCTGTTCTCCTTTTATAAGGATACTTGGGATTACATCTATCTCAGATCATCCAGAATTGTCTTCTCATCTCAAGAACCTTAACTTGATCTATCTGCAAAGTCTCTTTTTCTATGTAAGGGAACAAATCCACAGGTTTGGCAAATTAGGATGTGGGCATTTTGAGGGGATATCATTCTGCCTCCCACAGTCCCTAAGTGCTTGTTTCTATTCTAGTGAGATAATGAGTTGGTTCTGGATTAATGTCTCCCAAAGGGCCATGTGTCTTAGTCCTCAGCTTGGTGTTTTAGGAACCTGTAAGAAGTGGTAGAACTTCTTTATTTTTTTAAAATAAATTTGTAAGACCATTTATTTATTTATCTATTTATTTATTTAATGCGGTGCTGAGGATTGAACCCAGTGCTTCGCATGTGCTAGGCAAGCACTCTACCACTGAGCCACAACCCCAGCCCCAAGGTGGTAGAACTTTTAAGAGATGGAGCCTGGTGGAAGGAAGCTAGGTGGTTAGGGGCATGTCCTGGAAGGGGATATGTTTCTCTTGCCCCTCTTCTTCCTTTCTTTTTGCTTCCAGTCTCTGTAAGATGAGCAGATTGCACTACCATGCTGTCCCTGCCATGTATGTTGGCTTGTCACTGGTCCAAAGCAACATGGCCAAATGGTCACGAAGTGGAACCTCTGAAACTATAAGGCAAAAAAAAAAAGCCTTTCTTCCTTTTAAGTTTAGTATCTTCAGTATTTTCCAGTAACAAAAAAACTAACAGTGTCAGTGGCAAGTAATATGGGTCTGTCAGATTCATTCTTCCTGGTGAACTAGGCACATTTCACATCTACTTATCTGCAACTCAATTATGTTAGATCAAGTCTTAACATGTGGGTGGTGTAATCACGGATATCAATGTCTAATTTTAAAAAAAGCTAGACAATTTAATCAATGTTATAAGTGGTAGAAATCTGTAGAAATTTCATTTCCAGAAAAATGCTTTGATAGTTTTTAAATGCCAACCTAAAAATTTAAAATGAAAAAAAATAAAATTGACAGAAAGAAATCCAGGAGACCCAATAATGTATGATCAGGAAAAGCCCATTTAGCCCATTATCCTCAGGTGAACCAAATGAGTGAGTTTAGCATGGAAAGATAATCCACAAAGAGGATATAATTTGCCTTTTTGTCATAGCTTTTATCTTCATAAATACAGGRTAGAGAAGAAAATTCCTAACCACTAATCACTGTGGTGTAAACAATTTATAAATAAGATAACGTTAGAAATCCTCAAGCATAAATGGTTCAGTAGAACCAGTGCTTTTTTAAAAAGATGTCAGAAACCAACATACTGTCAGAGAAACAAAAATGAAACTGTGATTAGTTGAGTTCGATTGTGAATTCTGGAAATTGCTTAACATTTTGTTTTCTGGATGTGTCCTGTTGCTCACTATAATTGCTGGTAAGTTTGGGGATTTAAGTGTCTGAGTGGGTATGCAAAGAAGGAAAATAGATTTGTTTCCAAACAGAGGTTCTTACATTTCTTGCGTATTATAATGAGACATAATAATAATCTGTGTAAATGTCTTAAATTTAACTTCTACTGACATCCAGGTAACATGAAGCTTTCATTTTTTTTTTCCTTTCCATCTTTAGTGAAACAACAGTTGAATCACAAGAAGTGGATAAGAATGGACAGCCTTTGCTGTTTCTCTCTGTACCAAAAATTAAAGTTAGGAGCTTTGGGCAACTGGCATGCCTGTTATTCATTGCCAAAGACACAAAGCTGAAGGAAGCACAAGCATGTATTGAAGGTGATATTTATGCCCCTGTCTGGGATTTGAACTTTTAGAAGCATAATCTTGTGTGTGTGTGTGTGTGTGTGTGTGTGTGTGTGTGTTGGGGGGTGTCATTTACTAAGGTCTCTTTAAAAAGATCTACCATTTAAAAGGTGAAAAGTCAAGCTGGGGTTGTAGCTCAGTGGCAGAGTACTTGCCTAGCATGTGTGAGGTACTGAATCCAATCCTCAGCACCACAAAAGATAAATAAATAAAATAAAGATATTGTGTCCATCTACAACTAAAAAAAATGTTTTAAAGGTGAAAAGTTATATGTTCCCCTTCATGAGAATGCCATTATTTTTCCTTAGCTAAACTGCTATGTTCATATCAAATTTCGGCTTTAAAATAAAAGGCCTGATCCTTTACCATTAGTAGGCTTGTAGGTCTCTCATTTTTCCATGTGATTTAAACTGGAAAGCCAAGTGGCCAGTAGCCTATAAGGTCACATTGGAAGAGAAGGTAGACCTCCAGGACCAACTTCTGAATTCACTCTCTCCCTTGACATGCTGCTATGATGGATGATCATTTGTTTCCTTTAAATGAAATGTGGGCTCTTCCTTTAGCAGAGATGGCCCGTAATACATCCCATTTCCATTTTTCTTAGTCATATTCCATACTGCATCTCACAGCCTTCTGTGAATAGTTATATTCATTCAACTCGACAGGAAATATTTTTCTTCTTTCATTATCATCTAACCATCTAACATGCAAAAAAATGGGATTGGTTTCCTGCTATAATTGTGTTATAAATGTTTCTTTTCAGTAGAAATGCCTAATCATAGGTAATAATGTGTTGTCTCCGTGTGATGCTTTTCTGGAATTATGTGACCAGTGGATCCCAACACAAGGTCCTTGAGTTCTGCCCATTTCTGTGGGAGATGTGCAGATAGTCCTTAAACAAACAAACAAACAAACAAAAAAGGTGTCAGTCTCACCATAGCAGCATCTTTTATCTCAAACCTACTCTTCATTTGGGGGCTCTATGCACATCAAAGCTGCTTTCCTAACAGGGATGAAATCTTGAATGTAAAGCTAAATTCCAATGGTAGTTGACAGGTGAGACAAAATACATGGAATGCTATATATATATATGTCTGGTTTGACCAAATATTCTTTCCTACATTTTGTCCATTTTATAACAGTTTAGGCGAAATCCTTAATTTCAGGACTCAATTGCATAGTACATGGCAATTTGGTAGTCAGGTTTATGTCTTCCCTTAGAATTCACCTAGTACGAATTTTTTAATGTTTTTTTAAAACATTTTATTGGTTCTTTTTAGTTATACATAACAGTACAATCTAGTTTAATATAATTATACAAGCAGGGAATATATCTTAATTAGGACCCCATTCTTCTGGTACACGAGGATAAGATTTACTGTGGTGTATTCACGTATGTACATAGAAAAATTAAGTCAGATTCACTCCACTGTCTTTCCCTTTCCTATCCCCCCTTCTTTTCCTTCTTTCCTCTTTGTATAATCTACTGAATTTCTATTCTTCCTCACTCTTCCCCTTACTGTGGATTAGCTTCCACAAATCAGAGAAGACATTCAACCTTGGCTTTTGGGGATTGGCTTATTTCACTTAATATGATAGTTTCCATATCCATCCATTTACTGGCAAATTATAAAGTCATTCTTCTTTATTTTTTTTATTTGTTCTYTTTAGTTACATATGAGAGTTAGTTATATTTTGACATATTGTACAAACATGGAGTATAACTTCCTATTCTTATAGTCGTAAATGATGTAGAGTTACACTGACAGTGTGTTCATATAGGAACATAGGAAAGTCATGTTCGATTTATTCTACTGTCTTTCATATTCCTATTCCCCTTCTCTTCCAATCATTCCCCTTTATCTAATCCAAAGTACTTCTATTCTTCCCTCCCCCTCTTTATTGTGTTAGCATCCACATATTAGAACATTTGGCCTTTGGCTTTTTTGGGGGATTGGCTTATTTCACTTAGCCCGATAATCTCCAGTTCCATTTATTTACCAGCAAATGCCATAATTTAATGCGTTAGAGCTGAGTAATATTTTATTGTGTATATATGCATTATTTTTTCATCCATTAATCTGTTGAAGGGCACCTAGACTGACTCCATAGCTTAGCTATTGTGAATTTAGCTGATATAAACATTGATGTGTCTGAGATACTATAGTGTGCTGATTTTATGTCCTTTGGGTATATACTGAGGAGTGGGATAATTGGGTCAAATTGTGGTTCCATTCCAAGTTTTCCGAGGAATCTCCATACTGCTTTCCAGAATGGTTGCACCAATTTTCAGCCACACCAGGAATGTACATTTTTCCCCACATCTTTGCCAACATTTATTGTTACTTGTATTCTTGATAATTGCCATTGTGACAGGAGTAGGATGAAATCTCAGGGTAGTTTTAATTTGTGTTTCTCTAATTGCTAGAGATGTTGAACACTTTTTCATATATTTTCTCGCTGATCATATTTCTTCTTCTGTAAACCATGTTTCAGTTCCTTTGCTCATTTATTGATTGGGTTATTTGCTTTTTTTGGTGTTAAGTGTTTTGAGTTCTTTATATATCCTGGAGATTAATGCTCTGTCTGAGGTGCTGGTGGCAAAAAATTTTCTCCCATTTCGTAGGCTCTCCCATTCTTCATGCTCTTATTTTCTTTGCTATAAAGAAGCTTTTTTAAAACAATGCCATCCAGTTTAAAAAATTTTAATTTTACTTCTTGTGTTTTAAAAGTCTTATTAAGGAAGTCAGTTCCTGATCTGATATGTRGGAGTGATGGGCCTACATTTTTTTCTAGCAGGTGCAGGGTTTCTGGTCTAATTCTTAGGTCTTTGATCCATTTTGAGCCGAGTTGTGTGTGGAGTGAGAGATGGGATGAATTTCATTCTATTACATATGGATTTCCAGTTTTCCCAGCACCATTTGTTGAAGAGGCCATCTTTTCCCCAATGTGTTTTTAGTGTCTTTGCCTAGTATGGGGAACCATATTTATGTGAGTTTGTGTCTTCTATTCCATACCATTSGTCTTCAGGCCTGTTTTTGTGCGAATATCATGCTATCTTTGTTATTATAGCTCTGAAGTATAATTTCAGGTCTGGGATTGTGATGC